AGAAGAGAGGGAGACTACTTCCCGGTAAAAGTAGGTCTTAGACAGGGATGTGTAATGTCACCATGGTTGTTTAATATATTTATAGATGGGGTTGTAAAAGAAGTAAATGCTAGGGTGTTCGGCAGAGGGGTGGGATTAAATTATGGGGAATCAAATACAAAATGGGAATTGAGACAGCTACTTTTTGCTGATGATTATGTGCTTATGGGAGATTCTAAAGAAAAATTGCAAAGGTTAGTGGATGAGTTTGGGAATGTGTGTAAAGGTAGAAAGTTGAAAGTGAACATAGAAAAGAGTAAGGTGATGAGGGTGTCAAATGATTTAGATAAAGAAAAATTGGATATCAAATTGGGGAGGAGGAGTATGGAAGAAGTGAATGTTTTCAGATACTTGGGAGTTGACGTGTCGGCGGATGGATTTATGAAGGATGAGGTTAATCATAGAATTGATGAGGGAAAAAAGGTGAGTGGTGTGTTGAGGTATATGTGGAGTCAAAAAACGTTATCTATGGAGGCAAAGAAGGGAATGTATGAAAGTATAGTAGTACCAACACTCTTATATGGGTGTGAAGCTTGGGTGGTAAATGCAGCAGCGAGGAGACGGTTGGAGGCAGTGGAGATGTCCTGTTTAAGGGCAGTGTGTGATGTAAATATTATGCAGAAAATTCGGAGTGTGGAAATTAGGAAAAGGTGTGGAGTTAATAAAAGTATTAGTCAGAGGGCAGAAGAGGGGTTGTTGAGGTGGTTTGGTCATTTAGAGAGAATGGATCAAAGTAGAATGACATGGAAAGCATATAAATCTATAGGGGAAGGAAGGCGGGGTAGGGGTCGTCCTCGAAAGGGTTGGAGAGAGGGAGTAAAGGAGGTTTTGTGGGCAAGGGGCTTGGACTTCCAGCAAGCGTGTGTGAGCGTGTTAGATAGGAGTGAATGGAGACGAATGGTACTTGGGACCTGACAATCTGTTGGAGTGTGAGCAGGGTAATATTTAGTGAAGGGATTCAGGGAAACCGGTTATTTTCATATAGTCGGACTTGAGTCCTGGAAATGGGAAGTACAATGCCTGCACTTTAAAGAAGCATCTCTCCATCATACATTGCCCAAGTTTCAATAAGAATGTCCAACAAACAACTGAGATCCAATTCTCTAGATCAAGAGCCCCTCACCAGCTTCAAGGAACTTCCCTCGAGGCCCGCTAGCATCTTAAAATTTCGCTCACATCTGGAAGGAAAAAATTGACTGAGAGACTGCTTGTATCTTGAAAAACTCGTATGTTGGGGTACTTGTAAGTAGAATTTCCGCTGTACATGGAGAATAACAAAGGTGAAGAGAGTGGTAAGAGATTGCAAAAGGAGAGCAAATGATAGTGGGAGAGGCACTGTCAAGAAATTTTGTGGAAAATAAGAAAAAATTTTGGAGCGAGATAAACAAGTTAAGAAAGTCTAGGGAACGAATGACTTTGTCAGTTAAAAACAGAGCAGGGGAGTTAGAAGATGGGAAGCTGGAGGTATTGGGTAGATGGCGGGAATATTTTGAGGAACTTTTAGATGTTTATGAAGAAAGGGAAGCAGTTATTTCATGCACTGGCCAGGGAGGTATAACACCTTTTAGGAGTGAAGAAGAGCAGGATGCGAGTGTGGGGGAAAGTGCGCAAGGCATTACATAGAATGTAAAGCGGCTGCAACTGATGGGATCATGACAGAAATGTTAAAAGCAGGAGGAGATATAGTGTTGGAGTGGTTGGTAATTTTGTTTAAAATAAGTATGAAAGGGGGGAAGGTACCTGAAGATTGGCAGTGTGTATAGTTCCTTTATATAAAGGGAAGAGAGACAAAAGAGATCGTAAAAATTATAGGGGAACAAGTTTACTGAGTATACCAGGTAAAGTGTATCGTAGGGTTATTATTGAAAGAATTGGAGGCAAGACAAAGAGCAGGATTACAGATGAGCAAGGAAGCTTTAGAGTTCATAGGGGATGTGTAGATCAAATGCTTACATTGAAGCGTATATGTGAAGAGTATTTAGATAAAGGTAGGGAAGTTTTCATTGCATTTATGGTTTCAAAAAAGGCATATGACAGACTGGATAGGGGAGCAATGTGGCAGATATTGCAAGTGTATGGAAAAGGTAGTAAGTTACTAAATGCTGTAAAGAGTCTTTATGAGGATAGTGAGGCTCAGGTTAGGGTGTTTAGGAGAGGGAGATTACTTCCCAGTAAAATTAGGTCTTAGATGTGTAATGTCACCATAGTATTGTTTAACCCTTTGACTGCTGGAACCCCAAATCCTGAAGTGTCTCCTGGTGTTGCAAAAAACTAATGAAATGATAGAAAATCTTTTCCCGATGATAATGGCACAAAAAGTATGAAATTTGATGGAACACTTACGGAATTATGATCTCGTCAAGTTAGCAACCTCAGTGACATTTACGCATCGGCAATTTCGCCCACTTTGAGCCCTATTTTCGGCCAATTCCATTGTTCCAGTCCACCAAACTCATAGCTATTTTTTTAGAATTCCATAGTTTCTGTTGATTGCGTACAAGAAACTGCCTATTTACCAATTTCAACTATCCAATAAAGTGGCCAGAAATTGGCAATTTGGCCAATTTCATGCAAATTAAAAAAATGTCAATTTCAAAATAGAGTCCAGAATGAACAATGCAGACATTCCTGGCACTAAAATAACATTTTCTCTGTTCATCAGTTACATCTCCAGGCCCCTGTTATAATACTCTTGCTTTCCATTTTGAATTTTTATTCACACAAAAAGTAGAAGATTTACTGTTATGCAGACTACTGCAATATTGTAATAACTGTATAAATAATGTCAACCCATTTATGACTGCATATTAGAATGGCTAGTTGGACATTTGTTGCCTACTCTTGAACATCGGCAAAAAAACAAACATTTCTGCCACTTTGAGCTCCATTTCAAGATCCTTTTCAGAGAAAACCAATCAAAATCACTTCTATTTGTATAATATGTTTTCCATTCTATCAAATGAGACCAAGGAAACAAGAATACAACCATAAATACTATACGAAAATACACCTCAAATTCGGCGTTTTAATCCAAAAACACGGTCGGAGTTTCTTTTTCTCATTATGCAGTGTGCTACAGGATGTTTTTTATACTGCGCACACTGACCACACAGATCCGTTCTCTCACATGAGGGCCTACCAGCTTTCTCCTGCTTGATTTGTAGCCGCTATAATTTTTGAGTATATATACATCAAACACATTGGCTCGTAAGACGTATATATACAACCAAAACAGTCAAAGGGTTAATAAATTTATAGACAGGGTTGTAAAAGAAATGCTAGGTTGTTGGAGAAAGCAGGTGGGATTAAATTATGGGGAATCAAACACAAAATGGGAGTTGACACAGTTACTTTTTGCTGATCATACTGTGCTCTTGGGAGATTCTAAAGAAAAATTACGAAGGTTAGTGAATGAGTTTGGGAGGGTGTGTAAAGGAAGAAAGTTGAAAGTGAACATAGATAAGAGTAGGGGGATGGGGGTATCAAACAATTTAGATACAATAAAATTGGATATCACACTGTAGAGAGGGAGTATGGAAGAAGTGAATTTTTCAGATATTTGGGAGCCGACTTGTCAGCCGATGGGTTTATGAAGGATGAGGTTAACCATAGAATTGATGAAGGAAAAAAGGTGAGTGGTGCACTGAGGTATCTGGAGACAAAAAATGTTATCCATGGAGGCAAAGAAGGGAATGTATGAAAGTATAGTGGTACCAACACTCTTATGTGGGTGTGAAGCTTGGGTTGTAAATGCTGCAGCAAGGAGGTGCCTGGAGGCAGTGGAGATGTCCTGTCTAAGGGCAATGTGTGGTGTAAATATTATGCAGAGAATTCGTAGTGTGGAAATTAGGAGGTGTGGAGTTACTAAAAGTATTAGTCAGAAGGCTGAAGAGGGGTTGTTGAGGGTGTTTGGTCATTTAGAGAGAATAGAACAAAGTAGAATGACTTGGAGAGCATATAAATCTGTAGGGGAAGGAAGGAGTGGTATGGGTCATCCTCGAAAAGGTTGGAGGGAGGGCGTTAGATAGTGAATTTAGATGAATGGTTTTTGGGATCTGACAAGCTGTTTGAGTGTGAGCAGGTTAATATTTTGTGAAGGGATTTGGGGAAACCGGTTAGCCGGACTTGAGTCCTGGAAATGGGAAGTACAATGCCTGCACTTTAAAGGAGGTGTTTGCGATATTGGAAGTTTGGAGTGACCATCTAAACTCTCATATCTGGGAAGCCTCTGCAAACAGTGATTATATATGAGTGATGGTGAAAGTGTTGAATGATAATGAAAGTTTTTTCTTTCTTTTTAGGTTTTTCTTTCTTTTGGATCACCCTGCCTTGATAGGAAACAGCTGCCGTGCTAAAATAAAAAATATTTTAAACGGGAGTAAGGGGCTAGTACCTCCTTATGTATATATGTATCACTAAATTTACAAGGAGAAACTTTTGTTTTTCCTTTTGGGCCACCCTGTCTCAGTGGGATACAGCTGGTTTGTTGAAGGAAGAAATATTTTAATTAAAATTTGCAATATTAAAAAAAAAAAAAAAAAAGCTTTTGTGGATCATTCAATATATATATAAAAGAGTTTGGTATGTTGATTGGGTTTTTATTCTGCAAGATATGAATAACACTGTTCAAAAGAATACAGTGTATTTTATGTGAAAGATTTTGAATTAAGAGCACTATTTCTTAAACATACCAATTCTTCACAATTCTTAGAACCAAATAAAAACCACAATTTCTGTCATATGATAACCACAAGACCCTGGGTGCTTACCTATTGATTAATAATTAGAATCAAACCCACAAATCAACAACCATAAGACACTGGGTTCTTAAATTGATTAATAATCAGAATCAAACCCAGAAATCAACAAGACATTGGATGCCTACCTACTGATTAATTATTAGAATCAAACAGACAAATCAACACTCAAGCTTTACAATCACAGCAGAAATCTCTACGTACAAAACAATTACTGTGAATACTTTCTGCATTAACATCTGTCTCAAAGGGCCTTTCTTCCTTCACAACCTCCAGGGTGTGATCAAGAGCAGGAACATCTGCAATAAAAGAAAAAAATTTAACATTTCATAAACAGAAAAAAAGCATTAACAACTCAATTGCCTTGTACATTATCAACAAAGAAAATGTTGCATATATGTATTTGTTCCACAAATGCTTCTGTAATGATGTGCAGCAAGCTCTCAAATAAAAATTCAGTATACATGTATAGTGTGATTTCTTTTATAAATTATTTTATTTTTATTTTATTATCACACTGGCCGATTCCCAAAAAGGCAGGGTGGCCCGAAAAAGAAAAACTTTCACCATCATTCACTCCATCACTGTCTTGCCAGAAGGGTGCTTTACACTACAGTTTTTAAACTGCAACATTAACACCCCTCCTTCAGAGTGCAGGCACTGTACTTCCCATCTCCAGGACTCAAGTCCGGCCTGCCGGTTTCCCTGAATCCCTTCATAAATGTTACTTTGCTCACACTCCAACAGCACGTCAAGTATTAAAAACCATTTGTCTCCATTCACTCCTATCAAACACGCTCACGCATGCCTGCTGGAAGTCCAAGCCCCTCGCACACAAAACCTCCTTTACCCCCTCCCTCCAACCTTTCCTAGGCTGACCCCTACCCCGCCTTCCTTCCACTACAGACTGATACACTCTTGAAGTCACTCTGTTTCGCTCCATTCTCTCTACATGTCCGAACCACCTCAACAACCCCTCCTCAGCCCTCTGGACAACAGTTTTGGTAATCCCGCACCTCCTCCTAACTTCCAAACTACGAATTCTCTGCATTATATTCACACCACACATTGCCCTCACACATGACATCTCCACTCCCTCCAGCCTTCTCCTTGCTGCAACATTCATCACCCATGCCTCACACCCATATAAGAGCGTTGGTAAAACTATACTCTCATACATTCCCCTCTTTGCCTCCAAGGACAAAGTTCTTCGTCTCCACAGACTCTTAAGTGCACCACTCACCCTTTTCCCCTCATCAATTCTATGATTCACCTCATCTTTCATAGACCCATCCGCTGACACGTCCACTCCCAAATATCTGAATACATTCACCTCCTCCATACTCTCTCCCTCCAATCTGATATCCAATCTTTCATCACCTAATCTTTTTGTTATCCTCATAACCTTACTCTTTCCTGTATTCACTTTTAATTTTCTTCTTTTGCACACCCTACCAAATTCATCCACCAATCTCTGCAACTTCTCTTCAGAATCTCCCAAGAGCACAGTGTCATCAGCAAAGAGCAACTGTGACAATTCCCACTTTATGTGTGATTCTTTATCTTTTAACTCCACGCCTCTTGCCAAGACCCTCGCATTTACTTCTCTTACAACCCCATCTATAAATATATTAAACAAACACGGTGACATCACACATCCTTGTCTAAGGCCTACTTTTACTGGGAAATAATTTCCCTCTTTCCTACATACTCTAACTTGAGCCTCACTATCCTCGTAAAAACTCTTCACTGCTTTCAGTAACCTACCTCCTACACCATACACCTGCAACATCTGCCACATTGCCCCCTTATCCACCCTGTCATACGCCTTTTCCAAATCCATAAATGCCACAAAGACCTCTTTAGCCTTATCTAAATACTGTTCACTTATATGTTTCACTGTAAACACCTGGTCCACACACCCCCTACCTTTCCTAAAGCCTCCTTGTTCATCTGCTATCCTATTCTCTGTCTTACTCTTAATTCTTTCAATAACTCTACCATACACTTTACCAGGTATACTCAACAGACTTATCCCCCTATAATTTTTGCACTCTCTTTTGTCCCCTTTACCTTTATACAAAGAAACTATGCATGCTCTCTGCCAATCCCTAGGTACCTTACCCTCTTCCATACATTTATTAAATAATTGCACCAGCCACTCCAAAACTATATCCCTACCTGCTTTTAACATTTCTATCTTTATCCCATCAATCCCAGCTGCCTTACCCCCTTTCATTTTACCTACTGCCTCATGAACATTATTACATCCATGGGGAGCACTAAATCCATAGGTGTCATTCAGCATCTGGGGAAGGAATGGGAGGCATTCAGGTTTGACCCAAGGGGAGGGGAGGCCAGGTCCATTTCCTTGGATCAAGAACCCTTCGCCAGCAACAAGGAACCTACCTAAAAGGGGTGAAAATATCTGAATAGCATGTGATAAGGCTTTCACAGTACATATTCACTTTTGGATACACTTTTTCAATTGCATTTGCAAAAAACTGCATAAAACGGATTCATAAGAGAGCTTACTGGATGTGTAACTAAATATATTTTACACAGTATGTCTTATTGTTTATTCTTAGCGAAGTAAGTTTTCTCAACTTTCCTTGTATACTTGGTCCATTTAAGTTTTACTGTGTACACACCCCAACATCTAATATCATATTTCATAGGAAAATGGAGATCAAGCAAGAAAACAAAGAGTGAATAGGCAACATAGCCAAAGATGGCAAGAGAAAGAATAATGGATAAACGATTTTTAGTTTAACCCTTTGACTGTTTCAGTCATATATACAGTGGACCCCTGCTTTATGATCAGCTCCCAATGCGACCAATTATGTAAGTGTATTTATGTAAGTGCGTTTGTACGAGTATGTTTGGGGGTCTGAAATGGACTAATCTAATTCACAATATTCCTTATGGGAACAAATTCGTTCAGTAATGGCACCTGAACATACTTCTGGAATGAAATAATATCGTAAGCCGGGGGTCCACTGTATATGTCTTACGAGCCAATGTGTTTGACGTATATATACTCAAAAATTCTAGCGGCTTCATCATAGGAAAGGATGGAGGGAGGAAGTAAAGGAGGTTTTGTGTGCAAGGGGCTTGGACATCCAGCAGGCATGTGTGTGCATGTGTTAGACAGGGGTGGAGGCAAATGCTTTTCGGGACCCAATGAGGTGTTGGAGTGGGAGCATGGTAACATTTTGTGAATAGACTCAGGGAAACAAGTTAGCCGGACTTGAGTCCTTGAGATGATAGTGTGAATGATGGTGAAAGTTTTTCTCTTTTGGGTCACCCACCCTTGGTAGGAGATGGTTAGCAAGTTAAAATATGTATTTTGCACTTACAAACCGAATTACACCAAACAGACATAAAAATAATTTACCCACCCTACAGATAAGAGATTACTTAATACATTGCAAGATTTTAAGTGTTAAAGTATCTAATGACTTCTAAAATACAATTTATTGAAAAAGCTTCAACTATTAAAATATGATTCTTCAAAGAACATACCTTTTGTAATCATCTTACAATGGTTACTTTTAATATCATCCAAACGTGAGTACCACTGAACCACCACGCGTTTACTGTCCCGTTTATCACCTGAGAAAAGAAAACATTTAAACAATCTCTTATGGTAAAGCAGGATGTATGTGATCACCTATATGTGGCTGCAGGGAGTGAGTTCTAGCTCCTGGCCCCATCTCTGAATTTGTCTTTTTTGTGTGTGCATGCATACAAGCATGTGTGAATCTATCCTCACCTCCCTCAAAGCCATAGTCTGTGAACTTGATTCAAGTGGTAATGAAAGACTGTAAATGAACAAACAGAAAGGTGGACAAGAAGCTCCAACGAGTTCAGAGGTATTTTACATAATCCACATAATTCCATATAATCCTTAAATTTATACATTTATATTCCCTCTTTTCCTGTCCTAACTGCTCCTTCAACATTACTGCTATTTCCTTAGAACTAATTCTCTCAGATACCTCTGACCTACTCCCATTTATTTCTCCCCACTGAAACTCTCCTACCCCCTTCAACTTTGCTTCACTTAAGAGCCAGGACATCTAACTTCTTTTCATTCACAACATTAACAATCATCTCTTTCTTATCATCTGCACTACATCTACATGCATTGAAACATCCCAACTTATTCATATTATTAATTTTAAATATATTAGCCACTATATTTGTAAAACAAGTAAGTAAATATATTAGAGGGATGATAGTCACCATTATCATAGCACCTGATGACTCTTGCAATATCACAGCCTTCTGGAGTATCTGGGTCTGGTGAATCTGCATTACGAACATAAACACAGTCACCAGCATACACAGTTATTCTACCAAGTCGAAACCCACTGTAAATAAAAAAATTGCATCACTGCCTACTAAGTGCATATATACATACAAATACGTATTAAGCAGACAAATTTTTGTACAGCTTAGATTCTAGCTGGAAACTTGTATAACATCTGGGTTTTACTGTCAACTGCAGTACTAAACACAGTACATGCTTACAAATGGAACCTCGGATATCGGCCGATGTGGATATCGGCCAAATCGGATTTCGGCCGCTTTTTTGGCTGAAATCCTGTCCAGGATTTCGGCTGGCAACTCAGAAATCGACCATATGGGACACATCCGCCCACCACTCCGCTGTATTCGTGAGGCAGTCTGGCTGTGCCTCTAGGTGAGTGAGCAACATTCTGCGCATTCATCCAAACATTTCATTATAATCCATTGTTTTTGTGGTTGTTTATTGAGTGCGACTGCAAAATAAGCCACCACAGGCCCAAAGAAAGTTCCTAGTGCCAGCCCTTTCATAAAGACAGTGAGAAACATGATAGAATTCAGTGACAAAACCTTGTCCCACTTCAGGCAAATCTTAAAGAGATGCCAGAAACAGACCTCTCTGGACATTTTTTTTTGTGTGACAGGGGTGCAGTGACTCTCAAGCTGGTCCTAGTGCCAGTAAAAAACAAAGAAAGGAAGTAACCCCAGAGAGGGCTTTGATACCTAAGTCCTTATGGAGGGGGATTCCCCTTCAAAACAATAACCCCAACTCCCTCTCCCCTCCTCGCCTTCTTCAATACGCCCACAAGAGTCTTCAATAAGGTATGTAATGTTCATTTATCATTAAAATTTGTGCTTTATATTTATTTCTCATTGTTTTCTGTATGTAAAATTATAGTTAATCTTCAAAAATGTATTTTTTTTTTTAAATTTTTGGGTGTCTGGAGCAGATTAATTGTATTTACATTAATTCTTATGGGAAATATTACTTCGGCTTTTGGCTTTTTCGGATTTAGGGCAACCTTCTGGAACAGATTATGGCCGAAATCCGGGGCCACTGTATAACACATTTACATGGCACAGGCATCTAAATGTTTCACAGTTTGATGATAATAATAGTGGAATTCAGCAAAATTGTCCTATAACAGATGATTCCACTAACTTGACAACTTCCAGATATTCTTTGATGACAGACTGATTAACAATACTGTTACTCAAACAAATAACTATTAAAGGTACAGAGTGACCAATTCTTATGTTTCATTGAAATCATGGCATCAACAGTGGTAGGACACAAATGTTGGCGAGATGTAACTGTTCTTGGCAACAGTAATGCTAATGCCATACATGCATAAGAATAATTTAGCAAAGTATTGGAGTACAGACAGACTTATAGCAACACAAGCTTTCAGTGAAATCATGGAAAAATAAATTCAGTTAGTACTTTTATCCATTCAAGAACATTGTCATAGACGAGTCTCTGATTTTATTCAAATGAAGACTTTCCTTCTAACAATATATATCGAGTAAATGACGTCAGTTTGGAATCAAATTATTTGTGATGTGTGATTGTGAAACTGGAATAGTCCTAGACATTATTGTGTATACAGGAAAGCTAACTATTGAAAATACACGTGGCATGTTAAGACTGGTGCAGTTGTGAAGAATCTAATAGAGCCATATCTAGGTAAGGGCCATATTCTATTCACAGATAATTGGTACACAGGCCCTTCTCTGCAATTTCCTTAAGGTGAACAATACAGACATGTGGGACAGCAAGAGGAAATAGAAAATATATGCTATCATTCAAGAGAGTCCTGCATACTAATGAAGTGTAGGTATTTCATACCAATGACATGATGGCCTTTCACTGGCATGACAAGAGATGTGACAATGTTGATGACTGTACACAGGCATCAAATGAAGAAAACTAAAAAGATTGAATGGCAAACGGATGAACCTATTGTGAAGCCACTTGCAATCACTTACTGACTGACTACATTACCAGCATGCATTTGGTAAATAGAGGTGACAAGAAAATTGATTCTGCAGAATGTGTCAAAAGTTGCAAGTGGTACATAAAACTATTTTTTTAATTTACTGAAAGTTGCAGTGCTAAATGCACATACATTCCTTGTGAAAACAGGACACAAACCAAAACTGTCAGATTTCTATCTCTCTCTCTCTCTCTCTGCCTCTCTCTTTCTGCCTCTTTCTCTCTGCCTCTCTTTCTCTCTGCCTCTCTCTCTCTCTCTGCCTCTCTCTCTCTCTCTCTCTCTCTGCCCCTCTCTCTCTCTCTGTCTCTCTCTCTCTGTCTCTCTCTCTCTGCCTCTCTCTCTCTCTCTGCCTCTTTTTTTTTTTTTTTTTTTTTTACACAGGGTTTGACAAGGTTAAGGATCCCTAGCTTTATTGACAAGCTATTTACAGGTTAAGGATTCCTAACTTTATTGGCAAGCTAAGAGCTGTTACCTACATCAGCTCATTTGAAAGCATTTTTATTGTTATGAGACATACAAGTAGGGAACAGGATGAAGTTGGAGCCATCTGTGGGCCAGCATTTTCATTTGATCAACTGACTTTATCTCGTTGACATCATTATGCTGTACGAATGTGTTCCATACTTGAGTCATCCTGGGTATGTATGATCTCAGATGGAGTGATGTTCTGGAGAAGGGTACAGCCACAGTGAAGTTGCTGTTTTCTGCCCGTCTTGTGGCATAAAAGCTTGTTCCACGCTGTCCTCGAAGTGGATCCAAGTGTGGTATTTTGACAATATTGGCCTTGTACATAACAGTAAGGCCATCCACATCCCTCCTATGTTGAAGGCTCTGCTGAAATGACAGATCTATCCAGGATGGGTCCAGGTGAGAGATGAGACGTCTTGCTCTGTTCTCTACTCTGTCAAGCAGTCGCAGATGAGAGGGGGGGCAGGCAAACCAAGAAAGTGGAGCATACTCAAGGTGTGAGCGTACTTGTGCCTCGTACAGGATCTTGCAACCCCTACTGTCAAGCAGATGCGAGATACGGCAAAGTGCTGTAAGCTTCCTGGCTGCCTTGTTTGCAAGATTTACAACATGGTTCTTCATGGTTAGTTTGGAGTCAAATTTCACCCCAAGGATATCAACTTCTCCAGGTGCCAACACCCTCCCATTCATCCTTACTACTGCACCAGCATTACCATCATGGTGCCTAGAGACGATCATCATTTGCGTTTTCTCAGGTGCAAATGTTACTTGCCATCTATTTCCCCAAGCTGATATGGCTCTCAGCTGGTGATTGATGTAGCTTAGAGCAGCTGGTATTTCTTCTCTTGGATAAGTGAATGTCAGTGTACAGTCGTCTGCATATGCATGTGATTCTGGGATGAGTTGAAGAAGGTCGTTGAAGTAGACATTCCATAACAATGGACCCAGCACGCTTCCTTGTGGAACACTTGCCCCAGTAGGATGTCTTGCTGATTCTGTTCCATTGAGAATTACACTTAGTTCTCTCTCTCTCTCTGTATCTCTGCCTCTCTCTCTCTCTCTCTCTCTCTCTCTCTCTCTGTATCTCTGCCTCTCTCTCTCTATCTCTGCCTCCCTCTCTCTATCTCTGCCTCTCTCTCTGTATCTCCGCCTCTCTCTGTATCTCCGCCTCTCTCTGTATCTCCGCCTCTCCCTGTATCTCCGCCTCTCTCTGTATCTCCGCCTCTCTATGTATCTCCGCCTCTCTCTGTATCTCTGCCTCTCTCTGTATCTCTGCCCCTCTCTGTATCTCTGCCCCTCTCTGTATCTCTGCCTGTATTTCTGTGCCTCTGTCCGTATCTCTGTGTGTCTGTACCCTTGTGTCTCTGTCTGCACCCCTGTGTCTCTGTCTGCACCTTTGTCTCACAGGTACACATAAATATAGTTATACATAGTGTAAATTACCTAGGATAACCCAAAAAATCCACACAAAGTGCTATACTATGTTTGTAGATATAAGGCATAATAAGTATGACTGGCAAGTAATACACATTTTCACTTGTTTTGAAATCCAACATGATGACTCTGCAGGTTGTTAGGTAAGACACATATGCAACAGTTAGACAACTTTATTCCGAAACGTTTCGCCTACACAGTAGGCTTCTTCAGTCGAATACAGAAAGTAGGCAGGAACAGTAGAGATGTGAAGACGATGTAATCAGTCCATCACCCTTAAAGTCGTAGAATTTGAGGTTGTCAGTCCCTCGGCCTGGAGAAGTTCAGTTCCATAGTCAGGAACTAACTGAAGATCAAGCGACAGTGCGGAGACTTAAATACTGTCGGAAGGAGAGGTGCAGGGTAGTAGTAGTAGTAGTAGTAGTAGTGAGAGGCCACTGAGAGGTCATGTCCCTCTCAGATCCAACACTTCTCACTTGAAAAGCTTGTCAAAGGTGTTTTCTGTACCAAGATGCCACGTGTTGCAGTGTCTGACAAGATGAACATCAAAATGGTATACAATACCGACAGGTTGTTAGGTAAGACACATATGCAACAGTTAGACAACTTTATTCCGAAACGTTTCGCCTACACAGTAGGCTTCTTCAGTCGAATACAGAAAGTAGGCAGGAACAGTAGAGATGTGAAGACGATGTAATCAGTCCATCACCCTTAAAGTCGTAGAATTTGAGGTTGTCAGTCCCTCGGCCTGGAGAAGTTCAGTTCCATAGTCAGGAACTAACTGAAGATCAAGCGACAGTGCGGAGACTTAAATACTGTCGGAAGGAGAGGTGCAGGGTAGTAGTAGTAGTAGTAGTAGTAGTGAGAGGCCACTGAGAGGTCATGTCCCTCTCAGATCCAACACTTCTCACTTGAAAAGCTTGTCAAAGGTGTTTTCTGTACCAAGATGCCACGTGTTGCAGTGTCTGACAAGATGAACATCAAAATGGTATACAATACCAGGCCGAGGGACTGACAACCTCAAATTCTACGACTTTAAGGGTGATGGACTGATTACATCGTCTTCACATCTCTACTGTTCCTGCCTACTTTCTGTATTCGACTGAAGAAGCCTACTGTGTAGGCGAAACGTTTCGGAATAAAGTTGTCTAACTGTTGCATATGTG